ACGTACAGCGGAAATCTAATTGCTTTCCTAACAGTTACAATCGACAAACCTCCCTTTAATTCCCTAGAAGAACTGGTGGAACAGGATGAATATAAATGGGGAATTTTATCAGGAACATATTTTGTGACGTGGTTTCAGGTAATCTTTAGGTTCTTGCACGCAAATTTGTTAAATTAAACATATAATAGCAGTATATTTGAAATAGCGACCACGTATATACCAACGATTTATTTTTATGTTTACAATATTAATGACAAATGTATGTATGTAAGAGTGTTTGAAATAGAAGATTAGTATTTATTCGCCGAGATTTATTTTTACACTTTTGTACACTTTTACGTTGGAGCTCTGCATATGCTGATGTACCTATGGAAGTCCTTAACCTAGCTGCGTTAAAAAATTTCATTGGTGGGATAATAAGGAGACGTTGATGAGCATATATCCTATATAGACTGGTGACATCCGCCATGTACTCGTTCATGCTGTTTTTAAACCAAACAAAAAAGTATAGAATGCTTCAGTGTGAAAATAATTTCTTAGCAATTTGTAGGATAAACACCAACATTCGACCTAAAGATTGTTTATATCTTTAATATTTCGATTGTAATCTTTAAACAAATAGGCTTTGCGATAAACAATTCTCTGTTTTGAAAATTTGATTCATGTGCCTTGCTTTGAACCTCAATTTGGTACGAACTTTTTAAATGTTCCATTTTTTCGCAATCAAAGGTATTAGGTTTCAATTAAAGCTTAAGAGATTGTTTTGTTTTTCTTTCTTGAAATACACTGTTTTTAAATATATTGTAGGAAACACCTTTTGAAATTCTTCAAAAGGTATGGACTGGGATTAAAACTTTCAATGAAACAGATCCCGATGTTTTACACCCTGATCCAAACGTTCATATTAATAAAATGTACAAGGAAAAATATGTATATATTGGTGACAAATCTTATATGGAGGTAAGGAAGGCAAACAGGTGTGAACTTGTGACGGCGACTGAAGAAATTCCGAATATGTCGTACGGAGTGGGTCTACCTAACAATTCTTTGTACACCAAATTGTTTTCAGACAAGTAAGTAGTTAAGTACAATGTTAAAACTTATGAATGAATAAAAAGTTTGGATTTTTTTAAAATTTGAATTTGATTTTTTAACAAACAGTTGTAATTAAATTCTTTCAATGAATGTAAGATTGGTCTATCAATGAATCGAAAAGATTTTTTTGGGCGGAACGCATTCTTCAAATTTTCTCTTCGAAAACTTTAATTTCTTACTCCTCATACTTCATTCCTAATGTTATCTCTGAACAGAATACTCTCCTTGCAAGAGGGTGGGATATTACAAACCTTCAAACAAAAGCACTGGCCCCGTGAAGAATTCTGTCACGGATCTTTGGTGGCGGAGGCAAAGGAAATACGATTAATTGACGTCCAAGCAGCATTTATCGTGGTCGGCGCAGGTTTAGCTCTAGGATCTATAGTGTTATTCCTAGAAAAAATTGTCAAACATTTATCAACTAAAATTTGTGTGAAAAAAGACCACAACCCTTGTAAGCATATAAGGACTGTTCCAACAATGGAGTTAGAACTCGTTGGACCGGATTTAAACGGAATTTCAAGTGGAGTATTTACAATTGATGAAGGAGAGATTAATGTTCATATGAAAAATGGAGTTCATAAGACACACAGTTCAGATGGATACGGATAAAACGTATTTAAAATGTATATTTAAATGTATTTGTTTTTTTAAATTTCTGATAATAACTATAAATACCTAGTATTATAATTACGTAATATAAGCATTGAAAATATGTTGATAAAACAGTGTAAAATAAATAGCATATCCCTAAGTATCCAAATCTCGTCACCATAAGCAGAAAACACCCCGCATTTTCCAACATTAACTATATTTTGATTTGTTTATTACACCACTAAATAGAACTTGTATCACGCCATTGTCATTTCTTCCAATGGACACTTAATCCGTCACCAGTACAGGACTGCCTATACTATTTCAACGTATAAAAACAATTTTTTCAAAATTTATTTTTCTATAATATTTTATAATTAGTTAATCATAAAATATGTTTTAAGGTCTCATAAAGTATTCTGAATTGTTTTTAAAGAAATGCATCAGCTATATACACAGATGACGTTAACATAACGTATTCCTACATAATAATGTCGAACCAACGTTATCTCAAAGCCTCATGCATTCGGGCAAATGTATATAAAAATATTTATAGCCGTATTCAACATAGTAATATATCATGTCAAAACTTTATAATATACTATCATTAAAATAGCTGACAAGTAAAAATTAGCATGTTGACGCACCCATCGGAGACATTGATGGAAAAGAGCATATGGGAAAAGATGCTTAATAATTTCATGTAAAAAATGAAACCTAAAATAATTTAAGTATAAATTTCATTTGTTTTGATGACGCATTTTTAAACTTAATTGTTTAAGTTCCTTAATTTTCAAAAAATGACGTCACAATGGCATTCGCTTATAAATTGCTCGAAGTTTCCCGAAAGTGATGGAGTACGCTATTGACGGAGTTTGGCGATTGAGGGTGTTAGCGATACTTGTAAGCAAAAGAAAATTAATATGAATGTTTTGAAAAAACAGCAAATTAATCATATGTATCCAATTTACATATTATCTTGTTTTGAATGATTAAACTAATGTTTGCTCAAACAATTGTATGGGTTTTTTTGTTGAGTGAAATATTGTTGAATGAAATTAAAATAGATATTTGCAAAGCAAATATTTTCTTTATATATATTGCATTAAATATTCTATAATCGTTTCAAATGTCTTTTTTCATGTACATACTCTTATTTCATTGTTCAATTCTGTAAAAAATGAATAACACATTAAGTGTCAAAGTAAGATTCTAAAATATAATTGCAATCACCTATTCAACTTTTAAACGTTACTATAAGTGCAACAAAAGAATTTTTCTAGCAGAGTCTTTATAGAGAATAAATATATATTGTATTTCTAATATAGCATTTACAATTCATACTTAAGTTTGTGGATAAATAACTGATAATGGATCACTATAACAATGTATGATGACAGTTCACAAAGGTGTGTTCTCATTTCGCCCTAACTGTGAATTACTGTGTTCACAAGTACCATGTATACACTCTAATGTCAAAAGTATTCGTAAAAACAAAACTGAGGTGATGTAAACAAAACTAGGTCATCAGTGTGTGCCCTAGAGTAACGAAGTAAGAGGTTGATCCTTACGTCGTGGGTTCGAATCCCAGTGTGGGACGTTGAGACCAGTTCCTCGGATGAGACCGTATAAACTGAGGACCCGTGTCGCAGTAGGTGCTTGCCTGAAAAAGATCACTCCCTGCTCAATGGCCCTAAGTGTCGAGCATAGTAGAACATTTGCAGCTGTCCACCGACAAGTGGTGACGTCTCCATATGTGTGAAATATTTTCGAGTGGGACGCTTAACAACATACAATCAATCAATTTTTTTGAGCCACCATTTTATTTTTAATTTACCTAAATAGTATATTTTGCTGAACAACCCTTTGTATTCTTAATGCTTGGATTCTGCGTGGAATGCCCCTGTTGAGGTTCTGGATGAAATTAAGATGGATATTTTCCCAAACCTGTTGTATGGCCACTTGCTGTTCATTTGCGTTTCACAAATTCTCTACCCCTTTACAAAGATCTTGTTTAAGTTCTATTCAATAGTTATCGATTATATTCAAGTCAGGACTTTGAGCAGTCATTCCAATGTACATGTAAGAATATCCTGATGTTTCATAAAGTCCTTCACAGATATGCTCCTATGATCGGGGGCATAGGTAATCGTTTCATGGAAAATGTGCTGAAACGACGGGCCAAAGAATATTGTCAATTATTTCTTTATATTTCTGAGCATTAATGACATCCACTTTGGCTGATACTGTTCGCTTGTGTTCAAATGTAACAATGTTTTAATGGATACTATTAAAAGCCCTACCTTTCTTCCATTCAAAACTGTAACAGCTGATATCTTGAAATTCTGATCAAGGACTTACAGTAAAAAATGTGCAGATTTAAAATTGTTTTCCCCAAGCAATCATACATATGATAAACATGAATGTCTGCCTGACTTTGCAACAACGAAAAAGTAAATCAATAATTTTTGCACGCATATGGAAACGCACCACTTGCAAGTGGAGAGCTACAAAATTTTGTCATTAACTCGGAACTCAGGACAATTAAGCAGTAATGGATCTTCTTCGTGCCAGCACCTACTGCGACAGGAGGCATCTGTTCACATACAGTCTCATCCGAAGGACCAGTCTCCACGTCCCACAGTGCTATTATGTATTGCTATGTAAGGATCGACTCCTTACTTTGCGACTCTAGAGCAGACCTACTAACCACGTGCACTTCGCCACGTAATCGATTTTGATTAATAAAAAATATGCGTAATTAATTTATAACAGTCTGCACAGATTCTATGATAACAGTTATTCCACTATATGTGAATATTTTATGTAACTACTAGTGACATACATACGAATATGATTATTCCAAGCAGTATAAAAGCTCTAAAAATCATTAAATAATATAAATTTTGGAGCAGAGGAAACAGCAGCAGCCGGATCAGGTGACATAGAAGAATGAACATCCACTGCTGACGTGTGTTACTTGTTGTGATCTAGAAATAAAAAAATCTGCAGACAACATAGCGTGAAAAATGACTTTACAATTGTTATGAAAAGTGTCACTCAGCATTTGATTTAATGATAGACTGTATTAGTTAACATGGTCATTGTATCGGCCATAGAACTTACAAAGGGATGACTTTAAATGAGACTTATGATATTCTCTTTTCATCAATATGCTTGTCAAAAACTTTTAGAAATTGTTCATGCGTAGAGCATGCTTTTGCGTATCGAATCAACTGTAAGATATTCATGTGTGTGTGTGTGTGTGTGTGTGTGTGTGTGCGGTTGATAAAGGTGTTTTACTGATAAAGATGTAAAAGATGTATTACTAATAAAAATGTATTGCTATAAAAGTAAGGGAAGTTGAAAACTGAAAAGTTAGTCATCTTGTTTATCGGAAAGCTTGTTAGATTACCATTAACGTCTTTCTCTACCAAATTATCCAAATATGTTGGACATATGTCAGACTCTGTGGTATCTTCTATTGCAATATACTAGATATATTATCGACATAGGATGGAAATAGCATTGATACATGTAATTTACAATATGTACATAAACAAGTCTAATCAAAGTTTTCGTCACCAATAGACCTTTTCACAAAAAAAGATCTTGTTAAGATTTCTCTTAAGTTTGTTTTAAGACATTTTATTTAAAAGGGCTATTGGTTTTGAAAGAATCTGGAAATCAATCGCTGTACCTTGAAATGAAAGATTGATTAACTATATGTTGTTTAACATCCCTCTCGAGAATTCTTCTCTCTTATGGAGAAGCCACACTTGCCGGCGGAGAGCTGTAATTTTTTTTTCTATACTCGGCACTTACGGCCTTTTCAAGAGCAATGATGGATCTTTTTCGTGCCAGCACCTTTTGTGACCGGGGTCCTCGGTTTATACGGTCTCACCCGAAGGACCGATTTCCATGTCCCACAGTGGGATTAGAACCCGCGACGTAAAGATCAACTCCTTTCTTTGCGACTCTAGAGCAGACGCTCTAACATGCACTGTAATATATGTGGTTTTTGGAGACCAAATCTGCCAACAATCTATTAGGTTCCAATTACGCCAAGGTATTAGGAGACCTTTTTTGTATTCATATAAAGCAGGATTCGTTCAATAATCTTGTAAAATGAAGAAAACACTTGCTGTGGCCTTCAACTCGACATTAAGATATCAGCGACGTATTGTCAATTAACAATTATTTCCATTCTTATGTCGATACGATATATTCCGGTGAGTTTGAGATAAAAGATATCATAGAGACTGACATATCAGTTTCATATTTGGATATTTTACTTGAAAAAGACGTTGATGGTAACAACCTAACAACCATGTGGTGTCCTTAACTTTTAAATCGTCGACTTCTCTCACTTATGCAGTAATATTCCTTCATCACCTGCATATGGTGTTTATATCTCTCAGTTGATTCGATACGCAAGAGTATGCTCTCGATGTACAATTTCTAAAACGAGGCAAATTTTTATCAAACAGGTTGATGAAACAAAAATATAAGCAGTCTCGTTTATAGAAACCATTTTGTAAGTTTTATGGTCAATACAATGACGTCAGCAAATACAATACCGTATATCATTGTGTAATATGCTGACTTACGTTTTTTTTTATTTTGATTAATGATTTTGATCGTTGGTCCATTATTTATACACTTAATTGATGATGGATTTTCCGTTATTTCCCGGGTATGACAAGGAGCATACGATACGGGTGTAACCGGTCGGGAGGGGATGCTCACTCCATTATGGTACCTGAACCCACCTGTGATGTTTTGTTGTATGGACTTTTGATCTTTAATACTGTTCGTTATCTCCATGTAATAGTATCTCAATTTTACACTTAAGGGAAACAACAAAAACTTGAATCTTTAATTATAATACAATTAGCTTTATGTGTGGTAGGATTATATTCGACCATACATTAATACATGTATGTAGATTTAACCTTTTGAATTAAGACATTTGCGGAGCTCTTATTTATCAAAATAATTCCTGATTCTAAAGCATGCTAAAAGAAAATTTTTCTTGGCAAGACAAAGGGGCATAATTTTTTTTTAAATACTCTAAGATTAACAACAAAAGGGACTATTTTGTCAATTGGAAATTTAAAAAAAAAACAAATGGGGAACCAAACTTGCAAAATTAAGCTAACATAACATAAAGCAAACTACGAGTCGCAAAAGCTAAACTCAAGATATGGGAACATACCTTTACATTTACTAATGAAACCCATTTGCAAAATATCAAAACATAACATTTGATTAAATCACACCACATATGTCGCTCGAAATTTGCTATAAATTAATATTAATGAAGATAAGAAATTTGAAAATCGAGAGTTCTTGTAGTCTAACAGCGCATGACTCTATAGCTTCCAGCAGTTAGTATTCAATTTGTCCTAAAGGACATGTCATGTTATACGACAGACGAATTCCAACAATTGATTCAGTGCTTTAAATTTTAGCATGGATTATTGTTTATTGTAAAAGCAAACCCAAAATTCAAAATACGATTGTTTCTTGACAAAACAACACCGTTGAACATTAAAATAAATTCTAATCAAAAAACATACCAAACTATTGATTTATCAAGTAAACATCCTCAGAGTGTTATGAGAACTAATGAGATTGTGGATAGATAAGAGGCGGTTACTAGCTAGAAGTACCATTTTACTCCCATACAGTACGATAAGCAACTTTTAATTTCAACGTTGAGGCTAACTTCGGCATTGAGATATTGTACTCAAGTTTTATATACCGTACTTTATAATAATATTAATGTGATAATATTTAATCCACGCCAAGAACGCATGGCTGCTGGTTTGTTTCATTATTATCTTCTCTGAGACATTATGTATGTGTTTCTCGCAGAAATTGTTCTTTTTCTTCTAGTTGTGATTAAAAATGGGATCCATTCGACCAACACGATAGGCAAGTTGATATGTGGTCTTTGAATCTTTTTTTGTAAGTTAAGATTATATTGGTGAACTGAATTTTTAAATAATGCATTGACTTTCTCTTTGAATGTGATTACATTTGTCATGTAAATGTCAATAAGCCTTCATATGTAAATAACTAGCTAGCTAGCTTTGATTTTCTGCTACAAAAAGAAAGTTATACAGGTACCATGCAATTATCCGGGTTTATTTAATCATGGCTGATTTTAAAGACATAGAAATTTATCCGATTAATAACTTTTCCTCAGATGTATAAGTTTGGATAAACATAAGCAAACGTAGACAGAGAAAGACATTTTATCGAATTATGCATTTATTTCAAAACCGATTTTTCAGCCTATACTTTGAGTTTGCTTTGTTCATATCAACTCTTAAGCTTTATTTCGGCTCGTTATCTACAAATTTTACCCATTGTGTTTCTAACAAACATTGACAATTGCATAAAAGGTACATTATAGCTGAGGTAGGATGATATTTTTATCTTAAAAATTCAATCCTTTTCATGAATTCGATATTTTACTGATTAAACACGCTAATGGCCAACTGACAAATGAACAACAGTGAAACCTCTAATCCGGATCTTACATAATCCGAAATCTTATCTAACACATTGTTAACTTTAAGTCCAATTGCATTAAATTTCATTTATTTCTTAATATGGAATGAATAGCGTTATCCTACCAATTTATTTGGAAGCTGTAGGAATTAGACAAGTTTTACTGTACGAGTACGTAAATAAAACAGATGAATTCAAACTGTCTTTTTCATAGACAACTGTCTTCATGTAGTAATGTCTTATTTCAATCGCGTATGATGTGTCAGTCTCTCAACTGTATAATTATGTTAGAGCCTGCCCATTAAAAGGTTTACCTAAAAGGTAGAATGATACTGAAGAATAAGAAATTACATTTTGTTTGTTTAAATATGTAAAGTTATATATCTATCATATATTAAAATGTTAATCATTTTATTGAATTTGAGATTGAATACTGTTCGTTATCTCCATATCCTTCTAATTTAAAGATTAGAACAGCAAAAACAACAACAGCAACAACAACAAAACAGCTAAACCAAAGAGTAAATTCAATTTTCCTTAAAACCAATCAAAGAATCTGAAACTTCGCGTTATTCTTCTTATTCAGATTTTAAGATACTTTTGCTATGTCAGAATATTATACTTATGTATATAAGCTTTTAAATTAATCGACTTTAAAGTACATGCATTAAAATGCAATTTAATTAACCGACAGATACTTTCTCTCTCCTCTCTCTCTTTCTCTCTCTTTCTCTCTCTTTCTCTCTCTCTGTATGAAATAGATAATAAATAATCTTTTTATACATAAAACAACAATGATCAATATATTGGTAAAATCCAATATGAATCATTTCCACATAGTTTTGATTAAAGTTAATTAATGCTGTCATTTTATCCTGAAAGACTAATTCTATTACCGGTTGATGAGTATTATAGTCCCCTGGCATTTAATTTGTAGTCAATAAATGATTAATCATACGATAATCCTTTTTATACATTTATCTTTCCATCGAATATGCATAACTGATAAGTCATTTTTCGATGTGGTTATTTTTTCAATGTAGCCAGTCGTCTGCGTTGCGCAGTGATTAGACCGTCTGCTCTAGAATTGCGAAATAAGAATGTGATCCTTATGTTGTGGATTCGAATCCTACTGTGGGACGCGGAGACCGGTCCCTCAGAAGAGACCGCATAAACCGATGTCCCGTTTTGCAGTAGGCGCTGGACAAAAACGACCCCCTTACTGCTCAGTGACCGTAAGTGCCGAAATTGGATAAAATTTGCAGATCTCCACCTCACGTGTTGGCGTCTCCATATGAGTAAAAAAATCTCGAACAGGGGGTAGGGGGTGGGGTCGGGGGTTAAACAATATACAATCAATCAATGTGGTCACGTCGAGAATTGAGTTCCAGTTATTATTTTAAGGGGGGGTCATTGTTTCGATTAACATCGGGAAGATTTTAAGTTTTTAGCCCTGTCAATTTGTCAATTTACACATCGGTTTCTGAATTCAAAATTCCAATTTTATTTGAGAGGAAATTGAATGAAAGACAATATTATATTTCCATTCCAACTTACTCTTAGTTTGCGATAAGTAATTTTTTTTAAAAGTTGCCTATTTGAAAAAAGTATTTAAATAAATACGTTTTAAGTAGGCAACTTAACAGATGTCGCATTGACAGACAACTATATTTCGTTTTAACCGGATATGCATGGGTACTGTCAGGAAGGTTAATTTTTTTCCGGATAAACAAGAATTCCATTCACTAAAGTATCAAATGAGGTTTCAAAGAGTTTATTTTAATAAGGATCCATAATATTTCCGTTCTGAAAAATAGACACGTTTGCTAAATATCTGCTTTTTATTATATGTAAAATGCCATTGTTTTCTGTGCTCAATTCATTCAATAAATTCCATTACAAATCTCTATTCAAAATTTACTTTTAAATAAACATTATCAAAATCAACATAATCTGCATTGAAAATATAACTAAACGATATTTTCTGTAGAAACAAATATTTATTTTAGATGCATTATTTTCTACAGTTATAATTGATTTTTTGTTTCATATACTAGAGTAAATAATTTATTTCACTTATCAATAAAAATACCTTAACGTGATATTATTTTAATGATATGTTGTTTTTCTAGGTATTATTAATGGCATTTGTTCCCCCGGGCAGATGGAAAATGACAGTCTGCAGTCTTCCATGCTAGAACTTAACAACAGAACTATAAATATAATATGGGCCCAGGCAGATTTCTCCGAACTGTATAACGTTCTTCAAAAAGGTAAAAATAAATATTAAGATGAAATGAAATATTTTACTAAACATGATTTCCAGTCATGCAGTGCTTTAATCCTGTCGAAGTCAGTGTGTCCTCTTGACTCCACTTCAATTCATTTGTCATATTTTTTTTAAAGAAAAATGCTGTGTTTGTCTTGGGAGACAAAATGACACCAGCTTGTTAACGTTTAAATGACAAAATGTTATTTTTTAATTAAACCTTGCACGTATCTAGCTGTAATAACTTTAACCTTTTATTGTTAAAATCCCAAAATCGATTGGCACCAACAGCAAAAAACTATACGTTATATTAAGTATGCAACGTTGATTTCTATTTCTGAAATGATTATTAAGTTTAGTCGTACTAAAAAGAAGATATGACACGGGAAGTAAACAAACGATTATCTATTATCACTATCACAGTATAAAATTAGAAACACATGTATTAGATATACATTTTTTTTGTCATACTGTATACATGAAAATTTACATTTATTTAGAAAACATAACCAGTCAACGTATAACATCATTTCATGTGGGGGGGGGGGGGGGGGTAAAAAGTACATCCATCTAAAAGAGTTATCTGTCGTGAAATATTTTAGAAAAAAATTAGCTATTAAATAAAATTTTTATTTGTTTTATATATTTTAGGCCACCTTTTTCAACTATCAAAAATACTTAATGATATATTAAAGAACTGGCTGCTACTCAACATGCTCAATACGAATATTAATTCAACAATCTAAATAATTGAATTTATTTGAAGAATGTAATTTTTCCCCTGAAAATTTATTCTTCTGATTTGTTATGAATAATTTAAAAAAAATTATTTTAGTTAAGTTTTTGTGGAGAACGCAGGTCAAAAAGACTGGATAAAGTCCCCAACCTTTGTTAAAATTTGACATCTGAAATACATTATATATAATTTAGTTTTTTTAATGTTGCCCAATTATCCACAACATTGAACAAGAAGATAAGTTTTTGTTTTAATATATTAAAAAATACATATTTAATGTTCTAGTCACAGAATTGAAAAGGAACAGCGCTGATGTTGTGTACGTCCATTCTACCAATCATCGCATCATAATGACAATTTCAAACTTGAAAACCACGCCCACACTTCATCTGAATGACGTAGACAAAGAAAGAGTGGAGAGTTTTGTTGCGCCAGAAAAATATCCCTATTCGAATGAAATGAAACCAAAGCTTCATAATTCCCCAACAGAAACTTGCCTATCAATTAGATTTGGAGAAACCTATTTTGATGAGGAAACACTATCGGTTATGGTTGCTCGAATTCTGACGCATCTGAATTGGAAATCCACGATAACATTCTTTGAAAATGCGACTGGTAATTATACGACGACTGTTTTTATGTAAAGGAGGTTGTATTTTTAATTTTGTCATTCAAATTTGGGCAATCAAATACTTACATACAGTGTTTTTCTAATCATGAACTCTAAGGGACATTTACAATATTTAACCACCTTTAATACACACGAAATGTCAAGGTCTGAAAGATACCATGACCATGAAGATACACAATAGGAACTACGAGGGTTTGTTAAGGCAGCACACTTATCAGAATTCGGCGAATTAACACTTTTTTTTATAATCTGTAACATTAATATAAAGGGGAAAAGTCATGGATAACACTTATGCTATCATTATGCATTACTACAGGAAGCACTACACCACTTCGTCATCACGTAATACTCTGTTGATTCTGATCAACAGTCACGGGTTTTGTATTTAACCGCTTTGATAAATATATAGACCCAGAAACAACAAGATTCTCTTTATATTATGTCTCTGCATATTTTGATTCATTTTCACAACCACAAATTAATCTAAAATATCGATTTTAAGCAATTGTTATCTCTAATGTCCACGTCATATAGCGTACTTTGACGTCATATCATATAGACAAGTAGAATATTTGGTTGTAATCTTAACATACGTGTGTAATTATATGTTCAATATTAAGATAACATCAAAATATGTATCATTTAGGCTCACCTGAAATAGTATACCCATTTTTGTGGGAAAAAAATTTTTTTATCAAAGACTAAAGTTATTGTTAAATTTCCCAGAGTAATGCTTATACACTTTTCAATATAAAAAATGAAAATAAAAGTTTGAAGAGAAAAATTAGCAAATGATAAAATAATTTAAACATATGGAGGTAAGGAACAGTATTCAAGATAAAACAATCCAAAAACAATACAAAATAGGAGCAGAGCAAACACGGACCTCTGAAACCTAACAGATGGGATTATGTGACATGGAAAAGCATAGAACTATTTTTGGATGTAGTCGGTTGTGAAACACCTCCTATTGCAACCACGGTTGAAATCACGACAACTATTTAAATTATAAATTCAACATGGTTCAGAGTGCATGTCAATAGCAAACATATGTTGCAACCACTATTGAACTAACTATTTCAATAATGGTCGTATTTCAAAAGTGGTTGCCACTTATGTTTTGAAATGTACTTTCAACCACTATTGAAATGATTATTTTATTTGTGGTCATTTTAAAAAGTGGTTGCAACAACTGCCTGCAAGGGTTGACAAAAAAATTTTGACATGTGCAGGTGGTTATTTAGAGCGACATCCAAAATTAAGAACTCAAAACACGAACGTTGCTATCAAATCTTATGGATTAAACTAAGCGCAAAACAATTTCAAAAATTTTAGAAAAGATAATAAAACTTATTTCTATCAATTTCAGAGCACAATGTAGGGAAAATCTTAGATAGAGTGAGCGAGATAGGGGTGAATCATAGAACTTACAATTTTGACAGTTTGAAGGACGCAAAAGAAATTCGGGGCGTACTTGATTTAATTCATAGTGAATTCATTGAAGGAATGGCTAATATTACTCTGATCTGTCAACTTAACTGTACTCGCCGTGTATTGAATGAGGTAAGGTATTATTATCAAAGTAATTTGATGTTTAATCATGAATTTGAGAGAAAGGTTCTAAATACTGACAATGGTTTGTACATTAAGGAGGCAAGTATGGTAACATTTGAAATTAATAAATTAACCCCTAAAATTATTTAAGATAATGATATTTGGGTATATTAAAATATAAATGTATCAAGTATCAAATTACACAACCTTGGATTGTATATTTATTGTTAATAGAAGATTTGAGGGGGGGGGGGGGGGTTGTCAACAGAAACTATACAAACTTAAAATGCATATTATTTTAAACAAGATGTATTTTTTATTCCAACTTAAATTTCTTAATTATATAAGGAATGAATAAGATATGGCAATCATGCAATATTCATTTATAATCAACAATCAATGTATAAGGAGAAAATTTAAAAATAAATGAATGTTTACAGTGAATTGTTTTCATTTTTACAGGCAAATAATTATGATATTCTGCCGCTTAATTATCGACGAACGGCCCTTAGAGATCACACTTTTTGGTTTGTGATTACGGAGCTTCCAAATGATTTGACAGACTTAATAAATGCTTCCAGCGTACTTGATAATGTATGCGTGTTAAATCTCAACGTCACTTCCGCTGAAACCGTAATGGTAAGCTTTAAGCACATTTACCGAGTAATTTAACTAAATTAGGATACATTATGGTTTCAAACACTGTTTGGTAAAAGATACATGTAAGACTTATCATTACAATTTTAGATTACTGATCAAAACAGAAATTTGGCCGGAGATACCTGTCCACTAAATTGCTTAATTTTCTACGTTTACTTAGTTGAGTTTAAATCAGGGTTTTCCTAGTAGATCTTTTGTTTTTGTTCTGCTCTCTGCGATTGATTGTAACATTTATCAAAATCCTTATTTCTGATTATTTTTAAAATCTAGAAATGAGCAGGGATTTCACAGACCTAAATGCTCAGAAACTCAATACATATTGATTTTAGTTCTTCAAATCGTTTCATAAATAGTAATGTTTTAGCCCTTTAAGCACTCTTCGATGAATGATCTTTATTAATTATTAATAATTTAAGCTCATCGTATCGTTCAGTAGTTCGTATAAGAACTATTGCTTATTAATAAAATTATGAATTAAGATCCAAAACAAAGCAGTCAACCAAATATTTCACGTAACTAAAAGACACATAACAATGAGTTCGTGAAGAGTGACATAATTTGCGATGTTTCTATTTTGTGCAATAATTTTTTGGCAATATTTTTTATTTGTGCAATTTCTTTTTTTTCTTTTTTTTTGTGTATCTATTTTTAGATATACTGAAAAATTCAAAAATAAACTATTTTTATAAACACAATTGGAATCAACGTATTGAAAAAAGATGAAATAAACACAGCTATTTGAAATACCTTTAGGATTCTAGTGGATTAATTGATAAGCAGCAAATGTTTCATCGACTAGAAAACATGACAGAGCTTGTAAAAACAACTGGTTCTTCCGACGCAATTTTGGCACTGAAAGTAAGTTTGAATCTTTCATTTTTATAATCAAATGCAAATCAGCATAAATATTGAGACCATAAATGCCAAAAAGGGTTTTAAATTATACTTAAATCTTCGATAAAGTACATGTGTATCAGAATGTATAGTGTAGTATTTAACCTATAGTTAACAAATATAAACTTTTTTAGGATTATGGTTTATTTTATTTTTTCGTTAAAATTGAGCTAAGTCGAATATACTAAATCTACTTCTTAGTTGTTTTTTTTTCATTCTAGAACTACAGTCAGAGTATATTTAGTTCAAAATCTTGCCGAACCTATCCAGTGTACACACTGATGTGGAAAGAAGACTCATACAATGGTACCTCTTTACTGGTCAGACAGTTAGAAAATGTGGGAGAAGTAGGAATCGACGGAAAGTTTAATTTTCATTCAAAGATTTTTCCTAACATTGACTTTGGATTCAACATGCGGAATTTACTTGTTACAACTGCATGGGTAATGTTTGATACTGTAGTTTATGATTGAATTATTTCAATGATAAAGATTTCAGACAATTTGGTTTGATATGCCTGCATATTTCAAAATAAGCTCTGGATGAGTTTAATTTTCAGCATAGACATGCTTGAAGGTGTCTAGTCAATTCGAGTTCTTCTCTATACGGTCTAACAGACCATGGTAAATTCCAGACTATATATAATTGTGACATTTCGTTTAAAACTCAAATGAAAATTATCTGAGTCCCTCATTTGAATTATTGCTATCTTCAAATGAAATTAAAATAAACAATTTTTATATGACGCCGTTAAGCCTTTTAGGCTTTAGGATTTTAATTTTTTTCCACTGATTAAAGGTAATCAAAAGGTTACTTGTTTACCTAGGAGATTCATATTATGGAATCTGTTTACGATCATAAAAGCTTGAAATTTACCATAGCAATTAATTCATGTCAAAACAATCCTTCTCCAAAATTATTTTAATTGAAATCTGATTTCGTTACAGTGGCCACCATTCACTGAAAGAATCCAAAAGGATGGTAAAACCGTTGACTATTTTGGTCTTTGTGCCGATCTGTTGGATGAACTTGCCAATGAATTAAACTTTACGTTAGTATACTATTTATTTCAGCAATAACTGTCAAATTTTTTGATTTAATGATGTGATCAATCGAGTGGGAAGGCGTTAATACATAAAATTATTATGCAAGCCAATCGATATTGATCATCTTCATGAAATAAAAATATATGACAAATATTCCTTATAATGACATGCTCTAAATTGGATGCTAAATGCCCCGCTTCTGTCTCTATTGCTTCACGTCCCGCCCCGCACTGATTTTTTTACACCGCGCCTATCGATGAACCCCTTTCATTGATGGAGAAATATAGTACATTAACTATTTGTAATTTTATCTTGGACAAAAACATTGGAAATGTAATTATAAGTTTATACATATCTTAAGAGTTTGAATATGAAATTGTGTCAGTAGCAATATGTCATTCATTCTTTTTCTTCTCAGAATTGATAAGATACCGGATGTTTATTTTAGGAAAAGAAGAACACACTGAGAGAGCACAATTTCTCATTTAAAGCAATATGACCTGTATTAAAAAAAATTATGTTGTTTATATGTGTTAAATGTGTTATGATCATTTGTATGTAACTTAAACCTTAATTAGACTAAAATAAAGCAGAAGAAAGACTTCTTAATACAATCCATTATATAAGAAATCATTATTATATCGGACGACAATAATGAAATTTTGATTCAATCGAAACTCATAAATAGTTCTTCCATCGCAAATATGAACAGCAGAGGTTAATTACAGTTATTTCTGTCATTGAAACAATTTTTGTTTTACAATTTTGCAATAAAACATTCCGACTTCAAGTTGCAGCCAATATTGCTTTAACAGCGTTTCACTGCACACGATTAAGTTGGACTAAGTGAACAAAGAGTAAATGATCCGATTTATTATTTCAAAAACAATTCATGTCCTTAAATTGGTTTTTGAAAGCCAATTTTGATTGTACATAACTGGTATTTGTTAATAAGATAGAAACAAATCTTTATTCTACTTTATGCCTAAGTGAGTTCTTCCACAGCAAACTTTTTTCTTTGCTTAAATGAAGATCTTCCATTTAAAACTACATGTATTACCAAATTATTATTATACATCGTATAATCCTGATAGATTCTTGTATTTAGTATAAATTAAAGTGAAACATCGAGCAGTATAGTTCAATAAGAATTTCGACTTTGGTATTGTTTTTCGTACATATTTGACTTTTTCATTTTTTTTTAATACAGTCTAATCCCCAACCTTGTCTATTCGGTCACCAAACCTTGTGCATTTTGAATTAAATAGGTTCCTATGTACATATGTATTGTTTACATTTAGGTACACCTATACTGAACCTCCAGATAATGAATTCGGGAGAATTTTTCCAAACAGGAGCTGGAGCGGAATGATAGGGCAGCTAGAGAGAAGGGTATGTAAAAAAATCAATATCCCTCCGCCAAAAAAAAAAGGTCTCTTGTTGTCACATTTTAAAGTGATTGTAATATTTAACATTTCTTAAGAAATTTTGTGTCATGCTATTTAATTTTAACATCCAACTGAAGGCAGGGATTTATCATATGCCGTGTCTGTTGTGCAATACATAAAAGATACAAAAATGAAACTGTTGTCAGATATACAAGTCTTTTTCTCATTGTATAAATAAAACATCTTTGCTTTATCATGAATAAGTACGACTGCGTATTCGTGTCATACTGACAATGTAGAAAAAAAAATTCGTTTGTACGATTTAGAAAATCGATTGAACGATTTAGACAACCGATTGAACCATTTGTTAAATCGCTTGTAGGATTTAGAAAATCGTTTGTATTTTTTTCCCCCTTCTGATTCGAAACAGAAGCGTACTGGATAAGAAATTGGTAAAGTGTTTGTTTAGAGAAGTCCCTTTGCTGTGGACTATAACATGATGAATGTTATATGAATATTTTTTATTGTAATAATTAGCTAGTAAACTATAGTATCACGATTACATTCACATTGTTTTCATGATCACTTGTATAATTGTATAATCCATCTACGTGCCATACGTGATTTGGACCATTGTTAGTGTACATTCTCCGTCTTAATCTGTTTCTTTTCCTTAGACACACTCCCCCCGGATCTTGTATAGAAAGAAGACATCGAATATCTTCTTGAGAAACGGTAAATCCTTCCATAATAGCTTTCCAGTACAACCACCTGTATCCATGCAATTGACCACATGACTCAAGTGTTTCCTCAATGAAAAGAGCTACATCCCCTTTGTCGGATTTGTTCTTACGTCTGAACAGCCCCAACTAAGCTGTTGTCCTTTTCAACGTTAGTTCACTAACAAACACTCGATGAGTTTTCGAAAGGATCTGTGCATTTTCTATAAAAGAAAAACCCGTCTTCAAATATCCCTTGATCAATTTTTCTCTGTCATTCATCGTGTCATTCCTATAAAACTTTGCGTGGATACGTTGTCCTTCTTGTGCAAAGTTTTCTACTACGCTTCTTTTACGTGTAATATCAAGAAATAAAAACCGTCCAAACGATTTAAAAATCGTTCAAAAGATTCAAAAAATAGTTCAAACGATTTCTAAAAATCGTACAAACGATCTAAAAAATCGTATAAACGATTTTTAATTTTTTTTTCTACATTGCAAATATGGCACGAATACGCCATCGTAAGTAAGAGCACGTAAAGTAAATTATAAATTTGGATATTTAAAGAATGAAATAGGTTTCTATGTATTTAATTTCATTTAGAAGTCATTTATTTTCTTTGATTTCTTTTTTCTCCTACATATATTCTTAATATTTCTAGGAGGTAGATTTAATGGTTGCCGCAGCATCAATACAGGGTTCTAGGGAGAACGTCATGGATTTCACACAACCGTTTTATTACGACACAACCACCATTTTGATCAAACGGCCAGATCCAGATGAAAATAAGATGTTTACTTTGGCAAAGCCTTTTAAAATAGAAGTAATTATATGCATTTTCTTTGTTCTTCCTGTGTCCGCATTCCTATTGTTTATTATTGAGACGCTGTCACCATATTACAAGATTCATGGCCCAGAGGGAAGACAGAACTACCAGAAGTCTTTTTGGTACATGTTTGGAGCTTTACTCACTCAAGGTGTGTTAATGCCTAATTCTTAAAGTCTGAATGTCAAAATAAGTACAATTTCTGATGGAGTAAAACGAAAATGAAAACTATGAAATATTGCGATAAGAAAATGTTAAAATATTTGTTATTACAATCAGCATACGCGTAATAACCCATGATTTCTTTTTGTCTTGGAGGTATTTTAACTGGTCAACCTTTTTGAAGGTAACAATAATGGATGTTCCTCTTAAAGTAACCGGTTTTATACATGTATGACGAAAATATATAATAAAAACTCTGAAAGGTACATGGATACAGTTTAAGCTTTAATTTTTTTAAATTTATTTTTCCATTTTTCTAATACATGGTCTAGTATATAAAAATGGAATTTCTGATCATCAAAAATTTTAACTTCAGTTGTCGGGATACAAGACAGATTTAGAGCTCTAAACCTTTTTTTATGTAAACATGGTCCATGTCATGTTTTTTGATTAAATTACTAATATACGTGTTTGTTCGTCCAAAGCAGATACTTTAAAGAAAGTTAATTCTAAACATGATGAGACAGTTTCTTTTGATTTGCTGTAGTATTTCATTTTGTAATGAGTTTGGTATTTTCCATATGTAAACATAAACAAGGAACGAGCCTTGTTTACATTATGAAGAACTTTAAGTTTTGTATCTTGTTTGTTAATAAACAAATGGTGTTCAAATATGTGCTGATCATTATATGAAACCTTAAATAGGAATTGTAAACATAAACACTGGTTTGAAAAATTCAGTTGAAACTGAGTCCATGCCCCTTTAACAACCATTGTGAAATAAGGAATAGAAAATATTTCGACAAATGTATACTTTAAAAAACAGTTATCTTTATTTCGGTGCCCGGTATTACATTTAAAAAATAGGTCAAATAATGGAGGTATCTGGGATGTTGGCATGTTGACCTACAATACGAAAGTCATAGGAGAAATAACTCGGATTAATTAGGATATATAACTCGCATTAAACTGCATGATTAAACCCAATTTATATATTTTACAAATATAGGTGGAGAGAGCCTACCTAATTCGCAGAGTGGCCGGACAATGATAACTTTCTTCTGGTTATTTTCTATCATCATGGTTGCAACGTACAGTGGAAATCTTATTGCTTTCCTAACAGTTACAATCGATAAACCGCCTTTTAATTCCCTAGAAGAAATGGTTGAGCAGGATGAATATAAATGGGGAATTTTAGCTGGAACATATTTTGTGACTTGGTTCCAGGTAATCTTTGTATACTTGCGCAAAATAGTAATAATTGCAAACAATTCTATATATGTGATACGTTCTGGTATATACATGTACCAGGTAATTATTTTATTACATAACAGTGTTTTTTAAGGATTCACTGTCTAGTTATTATAGTATGCCAGGGCATCAACGATAGTGGGAAACTTGGAATAATTTGGGCGAAGCCCGTTTTGCATAAATTATCCCATGTTTCCCACTATCGATGATATATCCCTGGCATACTTTACTAACTAGACAGTGATTCCTTATGCATGTATTTACATTTCAATGTGAAATAAATTTGTAGATTTAGATTTTAAAAATGTAGATTTAAATTACACGAGGACTCCCATGCCAATTTTAATAGTCCTTGCTTACTGACGTCAAACACAAAGGCAGCCGCACGAGATTTATGTGCATACTTTGCCTCCTTCGCGGCAGACATAGAAACAGATGTGCACGAGATTTGCATGCATATTAGGCCTCCTTAGCTCATGACCTATCGACCTGCCTAATTTACATTCCAGTAAAATTATCAAGAAATCAACTCCGCTAACTTTCAAAGAGTTATCACAGAGAAAAAAAAGATATGGAAATATATTATACTTAATTTTATACTAAGGAGTTACACTGTTCAATTTGTATGACTAGCTTTACCTTTATTCTTTACATAAATATGGGTTCAATCAATCAGCAAAGCTCTAATCCATCACGTGATCATTATCATTATTCTGTTCACCGAAATAGACTAGCTGTATATTTAAGAAAGCGAAAACTAATTATACCAAAGATATATCCTCCATCATTATGATTTTAATCCGATTTTCCCTTTGTTCCGTTATAAATAAAACATTTACTCAGTCAAAGATTGTTGAAATGCCAAATTCTGATAATTTGTATGTATATTTAGAAAGAATTCATAAAAAATGATACGCTAAAATGGAATCTGAAAATTAGGAATAATTAACAAGTTTAAAAGTGAAATGAAACAATACAAAGAATTTACGCTTTAAACTTTATCGCGCCCTAAAAACAATATTTTCAAAACGTTTTGAAACTGTCTTTGAAATTAAATGAATTTATGACTGTGATAGATCAGGAAAGAATGTGGCATTCTGGAAATATGACGTCACTAATTTAATGCATTTCTCTATTTTTAACGAGAAAAGCCTTAAAATGACTAATTTCAAGCATTACCTTCCTTGAGAAAATAGTGTCAACAGACGTTGTACACTTTCTTTTTTGGAAATCTGCAAAATTCTGTGTAATAAAACATATCTCAAAATCTTTGTGGGCAATGCCTGTGGACAATATCATTTGAAAAACAAATTTCTCTGAAAACTGGTATCTTCTGCAATTTTTAAAGAAATATGGGAAAATAAATCTGTTAATGACGTCACACTTAGCATTTTGAAAGGTTTTAGAGTAAAAAGAATTTTATGATTTTTCTGCATGCAAATTCAATGATTGAAGAAGCATGATATTATATTTTTTATATCAGTTTCACTTTTTAGAAAATCAAACGGCACGATTTTTATTGAAACTGCACCTTGTTCTTTGAGTAAAAGCAAAGAAACACTAAAAATTTAAATATATTGTCGACGGGATAATAAGGTGTAATTGATGAACAAATATCCTAAGTAGACTGGAGAATACGCCATTTACTCGTTCCTGATTTTTAAAAAGAAAAAACGCGGAATAATTCAATGTGAAAATATCTTATTCGACCCAATTTTTTTTTTAAATATTTGTTTAAATTTAGATTGTTATATTTATACATATAGGCTGTACGACGAACAATCCTTTCATGTGCCTTGCTTTGATGGCACGAATTGTTTTTATAGAAAATGTAATCAAAAGTTAAAGATTTACACATCTTCTTTTGGGTATGTATTGTTGTATTTTTATTAAAAATATTGTTTTTCAAAATATATTGTAGGAATCACCTTTTGAAATTCTTCAAAAGGTATGGACAGGGATTAAAACTTTCAACGAAACAGATCCCGATGTTTTAAACTCTGATCCAAACGTTCATATAAGTAAAATGTATAAGGAAAAATATGTTTACATTGGTGACAAATCGTTTATGGAGATAAGGAAGACAAACAGATGTGAACTTGTGACGGCGACTGAAGAAATTCCGAATATGTCGTACGCAGTGGGTCTACCTAACAATTCTTTGTACACCAAATTATTTTCAGACAAGTAAGTAGTAAAGTACAGTGTTTAACTTTATGAATGAATAAATGCATTGGATTGAATCTTTTAGCAAACAGTTGTAAATTAATAGAGAAGCATATCTATAAATACACTGTACTTTTAATTTTTCACAGAATGTAAGAATGATCAATGAATTGGAAATATATATACTTTAAAAACATACTCTTCAATATGATTAAACAAATATTCTCTTCGAAAACTTTCTTTCTTACTTCTCATACTTTATTCGAATTTTATTTGTCAACAGAATACTCTCCTTGCAAGAGGGTGGGATATTACAGACCTTCAAACGAAAACACTGGCCCCGTGAAGAATTCTGTCACGGATCGTTGACGGCGAAGGCAAAGGAAGTACAATTAATTGACGTCCAAGCAGCATTTATCGTAGTCGGCGCAGGTCTAGTTCTGGGGACTATAGTGTTATTCCTAGAAAAAATTGTCAAACATTTATCGACTAAAATTTGTATGAAAAAAGAACACAATCCTTGTAAGCATATAAGGACTGTTCCAACAATGGAGTCAGAACTCGATAGACCGGATTTGAATGGAATTTCAAGTGGAGTATTTACAATTGATGAAGGGGATATTAATGTACATATGAAAAATAGAGTTCATCAGACACACAGTTCAGATGGATACGGATAAAAAAATATTCACATGTACAATTCATATTTATATGTATTTGAATATTTTTAAAATTTCTGAAAATTACTATGAAAGTTTTATAATTATGAAACCGGGTGGAAATAGACAACACAATCCATCTGGTTTATAATACACGTGGGACTATTGTGATGGTGTAATTGCCCATATTGATGTTAAGATGTCATAGATGACCCTGCAATGTATAAAATTATAAATACAAGAACAATAACTCTGCATGCAAATGTTTACAAGCAAAGTAATTATGACATGAAATAAAACTAAAATTTCCAATATTAACTATTATCCTTTCAAACAACAATGTTTGTAATAAACTCATTATTAATAAACTTAGAATATTCATATTTTCTGATAAAAGCACAAACTAGATAAATTTCAAATAACAGATAGCTTCATGCAAAACTCTCAAATTACATGAATTGAAGACATAAAGGAAAATGAGTTTAAATACTTTCAAAAATATCTTGTAATTCATCAATATTTAAACATAACACATCATTCATTTTTCTACCAACACACAATTAACCTACCTCCCATGAGGTGCAAAGGTCAGCTTAATATAAAACTAAGCTGTCTCAATAATATGGAACGTGTTCTAAATGTAAAAAATAAAATGATATGTTGTTCAATGTAAGGATTTATTTACAAAAATGAATATTTTAGAAATTTGTTTACTTCAAAATTTATGACTTAAAAGCACTCAATATCTCCATTCTAACTTAAGCAAATAATTTAGAAATATAATAAACATGTATTATATAAACATAATTTATTTACAGTTTTATACAAATCTCACAAACGACTTTCACTCCCTCATACTGCCTAACATTCAAGCATTCACACAAAATAGATTAAGTAGGGAAAATAAAGAAATTATAAAAACTTAAATTAAACACTAACCTGGTAATGGAATATTTACTCAGCCCAGAAATAATTCAATCCGAGAATATCAAAACTGCTCAAACAAAACTTTTAAAATTGGCTCAGAACATCCACACCCATCTGAACGCTTGGGCATAAAAAACAAGAATACAAATCCCTCCTAAAATCACCTGACCAATCCAGAATTACCACTTTCTAACCAGATCTATAATTAACTACAAATCTACAGGTAAACCCAAAAGAAAGATAGCTAAATACTTTACCTGTAAGACTTCATAAATAATAAAATAACAAAACACATTCTTTAATTTAAAGTTTGAATGAAATAAATCACATATTTCAATTTAAACTCTGAAAATGATAATCAGATCAAAGAAAATTCCTGAAAAATAAATTTATTAAATACATATAAAATTTCACTCTATTACAATTATATATAAACATTAAAAACATTTTGATTAAAATTTGTATAATAAAAGCACTAAGTCTTTTTAAAACAATTTATTCCCGAGTACCCAAACTCCGTCACTATTAGCGGAAAACACCCAGCATTTTTCATTAGAATTAATTATATTTTGATTTGTTTCTTGTTTGCTACACATAGTTATAATTCTTGAAAAATGTTTTAATTATATTACCAAAAAGGGTGTTTATTACACCACTAAATGGAATGCGAATTCCGCCATTGCCATTTCTTTTAATGGACTCGACTTAGTCACCGGGATTGTCTAAAATTTTTAACGTACAGACAAGTTTTTCCCCAAAAATTATTTTTAAACCATTTTCTTAAAGTTTTAGTCCTAAATAAATTGCTTTTAAGATTTCAAAAATTATTGACTTGTATTTTTAAAGGCATCAGCACTTATACACACATACAATAATAACATAACGTATTTATACGTGTTAGTAGTAATAATGTCGCACTAACATTATCTCAAAGCGTAGTGCATTCGTGCAAATGAATACAAAAAATGCTTATAATCGTATTCACCATGGTATTCGTCACGTAAACCTTTATGATAGACTATCATGCGTCCATTCGCATTCGTTTATAAATTCCACGAAGTTTCCCGAAAGTGACGGAGTAGTATCTTCAGTTTTCCCTGACGCTACAAAAACGTAAGTTTCGTTAATAATGGCCTTCTGGTAATATACGTTTTTTTTTTTTGCATCAAACTTACTTTTCTAATTGATAAAATTGGAAAGTTTCTTTTCGAAACATAATTCCTTCCATTTTCTACAAATTTTTGTTGCAGTCCGAGAGTAACTATTGTAGACGACAAAAACGTCATGAACTAATCACGTGATACTAGTGAATGTTGTCCTAGTGAAGCTATAAATAAAGTAATAGAGATAACTCTACCATTGTTTCTAAAAACTACGTCTAACAGTGGTCTAATACAAAAATTTAACGCGATACCGAATTTTTATCTGAGCGACGCTTTGTATTTGCGAATAATTTTGACACGAGACTGTACATGTATATGATTATACCTGTGTTTAGCAGGACGCTATTTCTTTTCTACAACGCAAATTAGAAAAAAATCAAAACAGATACAGTCATACTGGTTTTATTTTCAGATACATGACGATTTATACACAACATTGGCGTGATACACCTCCGCCACAAAGTCCACTCATATAATTGCCTCTGCAGAAGTTCGAAATATTTTGGCAAGTCCCACCTACCCACCAGCATTTATAATCTGCTCCTGTTAACAATTTCAGAAGTGTAATCAAGAAGTGCGTATCTCTCAATTGATTCTATATACTACGTTCTACATGTAAAGAATTTTTAAAAAGAGGTAATCTATTGATAGAAAAATTGCTGAAACAAGAATATCAGCGAATTTCGTTTAAAGTCAACATTCTTTAAGTTCTATGATCGATACAAAAACTTTGTTATAACTAAAAGTGCAAAATAAATTTTATATATAAAAAAAATAATCCTCTAAAAATTTCCCTGGCTTGGAATACTTTTATAAAGTTTATATTACACTTTTAACACTAAGATAACATATTCTGAAATTTGTTATAATCTGTAAACCTTTACTGAGTATGATTTGTCAATATCTGTTATTTCATTAAAGTAGTAGCTAAAATTTTACAAATGTATTTCATTTTCCAAGACCAAGGAGAAAAAAAATCAAAGAATTATCCCCTTTTCTGAGCACGCCGGCTGATGTTCAGTCTCCTCCAATTGACTCCGAAGAAAAAAAATTTTGTATCATCTGTCATTGAATAAATCTTGATAAAATAATGTATTTTCAGCATAATTAAGAAAAGGTCTTTAAATTTATTTGCATCCGTCTTCAAAAAATATTGCAGGTTTTGCTTACCAGGAAGACAGCATTTTCTATCTTCCCCATCACAGTATCTCTTAATAGAACGGAAACAAGGTTCATTCACACTTAGACATCTACCATTTATGGCCCAGCATTGAGAGTCATCCCCTTAAGTTAAAAAATTTGATCGATGAATATTATAACTACGAAAATTTTCAACATACAAATTCATAAAACTTACTGCATCCAAGTACATTCATTCTTATGTCTTCGCCACTTTAGATTATTAACAATACTTTTAAATTATATATTTTTCAGAATGTGTTTTACTTTGACAATAAGGTTTAAGGTCATACGCAACGTAGTTTGAACTTTTGAGGGTTCTTCCCTGGAGTTGAAGAGTTCCACTAAATGAAGGACCTGTGTGCAATATTTTTAATGTCTATATATGGATTTGTACACCTCTTCTTAAACATTTTTTGATGAATTAAAATTTGGAATTTGTGTTTTATAATTTTTGTACATTTTTATTTGAATAATGCAAAAATTTTCAAAATTCGATATCTTTTCAAAACCTCTGGTAAGGCATGCTGATTTTTTGTCTATGAACATGTAATTATATTATAAGTTTGAATTTGGAATATCTTTGAAATCTATCAGTAGGTAAGGTACGTTGCGTATGTCCTTAACAAAGATAAGTAAAATGTTTTAAGATAACCGGGTTATATTTTTATGTTTGAAAGAGACACGAGTCTTTGAAGCAATATACACTGTAAACTGCATTTTGAGAATTTTATTTTGCCGTAAAATGTGTTATTATGAAAAAAAAATTGTATTTGTGATGTAGACCTTTATGTTCGATAAAACTTCAATAAAGTATAAAGAGCAAGAGCCATGTTGGGCCTTATTTGGCCCTGAGAACTTCCGAAAAAATCGAAACCGCTCAGTTTAGGTTGCAAGTGTAGTATTTATTACTTGGAGTGTTGGTGATCATGTGTCTATAAATTGTGACGTATTTTTTTTATCTAGTCAATTGATTATGACGTCATCAAATGCGTCATTTTCCTCATATTCTGTAAATTCCTTTGAAAATGGCCTAAAATTGAAGAATTTTTTCAATATTTCATATAGAGCACAACCTCTGATCCAAAATATGCAAATACATAATGAAAGCTCTGTTTCTGAAGATCAAAACACATGTTTTATTTTTTGGATCGTGGGCTGTGCTCATATTAAAATTCTTTGCTGAAGGTTGTCAAATGCGCTTATTTTCTGCAAATTTCAAGAACATTGCAATTTCTCAAAGCCTGTTTTCAAATATTTTGATTCTAAAAACAAAATTTCATTACACAACATGAAAGCACCAAGTGTCTACTTTATTTTGACATATAAAATGGGAAAGAGGGTGATAGTTAATTATTTGATATAAGTACAGGGCCATTTATGCATAACTTGGCTCTACCTCTTTGTTTCAGAAGTAACTTAAGGCTTCTGTACAAAGAAATATAAATATTTAAGAAATCAATATTGTAAAGGACGACAATAATGCAATTTTGCTTTTATCATAGCTTATAAAAGATTCTTCCATCGCAAATATGAACAACAGAAATAAGAAATGTTCCTTTTATCTGTTCTTTACATAGTAAACATCAAAGTTGCAGCTCATATTGCTTAAGGATATCCGATCCTCAGCCAGGAGGGATAACTCAAAAAATTAATATCATTATTATTATATTATTATGGAAGTCGGGGAAGTCGTAGAAAATGTCTTATACAAGTTGATATTTGTACCCTATAAAAGAAAAAAATTAATAC